CTTGATGGATTTATTCAAACATAAATTAAACATTGATAAACAGTAACATTTATGATGGATATGTAATATGGTGCATATATTTAGCAAAATGCCCCTCTCTACAGTTTATTTTTCTATCTGTCTAATGAGTTTATGGTCACCGAATATGTTTTTCTGAGGTGACATTGTTTACAAGCCGTTATATTGACGTCTTTGAGCGGCTGAAACACAGACTGAGCGATGAGACAGGATACGGATTGTAAAGTTGTACTCTTTCTTTTAACTTACCTTCGGATGTTTAGTCATGTTTATTTTGTGCTGGAACTGGTATTAATGTGGAGGAGATAATCAGTTCACGTGTGCCTCGCGCTGCCGCGTCTCTGTTGAACTGAGGCGTTATATACAGCGATCTATCACTCCATTTTAAACAGCGCCAAAACGGCATTTATTGTTTGAATACTGCAATACAATGTATGGACAGAATTTGAAATCTGAGACTTTGTTTCATATTAAACGTACCAACGCACAATGCTTATTGCGATTTATTGGATGGGAAGTGCCCTTCAACGTTCCGTCCATGAACTGAAAACAGGCTAGACTAATCGATTCTTGGGATTTAAGAATCGATATCGTTATGTAAAAATTTGAATCGATTAATATCGAGACATCAATATTTTTTACCCAGCCCTAGTAGTAACTGATTACATGTAATCTGGATTATAATCAGATTCCATAAGTACTTGTAATTAGATTATATTACATTTCAAAACACTCGTAATAAGACTAGTTACTTTATATTGATAACATGATTACATATGATTCACACAATAGCAATAAATTATTCATAATTTAATGACTTTCCCTAAATCATCATCTTCGTGCCTATTATTAGCCTATTGCTTACATGCATTCAGAAAGTCTTCCAGTTTTCACAGTCTTCCATCACACAAAGACCAGTCACTAGTCAAGTGGATATAACTACACAGAAAATTGTGATTTTTTTTTTCTCTTTGTATTTTTATCAATGTACATTATTATCCTATTTAAATCAATGCGATAAACAAGTTAGTCCAAAAGTAATCAAAATGTTGCTATATTTCTTCAAATGTGTAATGCAATGAATTATGTCACAAACTACAATTTTGTCATGTAATTTGTAATCAACATTGACAATTTGACTACAATTTGTAAGTCACCTACCCAGCACTGTAGATTTAATATACATAGATGCCTCATTAGCGGCTGTTGCCATGGTCCGCTTCACTGTAAAAAATTACTGTGAATTTAACGGTAAAAGACTGTAAAAATGCTACAGTAAAAACCTGTTAAATGGTTAACGGTAAATTCACCTACTATATACGGTGAAAAACTGTATTGGACATTACATGTAATTTTACGGTAGTATACCGTTTTTGGAAGTGAAAAATACCGTATAATTTACAGTGAATAACCGTAAATTGACATTCCCAGAATTCCCTGCGTTACATTTGAAATTGGAAGTTTTTTTGTTGAAATAACTATGTTTCTTCTTAGTTTTTTCTTATCAGTTTTGTATTTTAGGGTTGTGTGTTACACCTAATGTTGTTAAATTAATGTTTATTGCATTATTTCAGTTTCATGTGTGTTATCATGATGGTGTTTAGTGTTTGTGGGAATGACACTGCGCACCTTCTATATATGTTATTATTTAAAAGCTGCTTGTGATGGGCTTTGGTTCATCATGTGACTTTCTCATCAGCACCTGCATTGGATAGTTATTTGTGTATTACAAAGGTACAAAACAGATTTCAGTACTTCAATAAGGTTGGTATATTAACATTATATCAGTTAATGAAATACGTTATTTAACTGTAAATTTAAGTTAAAACCATAAAACCTAAAACGTTGCTACCATATTTTTTTACAGTAAAATTCCAGCAACCACAGCTGCCGTTTTTTTTACCGTAAATTTTACGGCTTTTTTTTTTACAGTCTACATAATCCGTCCACTAACCAGAGGTCGCGCAATGTTGTGGCATTTTAGAAAACGATTTGACTCCATTCCAAGATGGCGGACGCGCCAAAGTGTCTGAAGCAGACGAATGTGGATTCTACAAATACACATCTATGTTCAAAGAGTTGCTTTGGTCTTCTGAATGGTTTTTAGTGGGCATTGCTAGGAGGATGCCACTGGCCCAGGTCAGAAGAGAACAAGTCTTGTGTTTTGTGACACTGGAGACGCTCTCTGACTGACTGTTTCTATAGGCTGTGTGAGTGAATGGACATCTCCACCCAGGGTCAACAGGTCGCCATGCAGACAATATGCTGTTTTGTGGAAGTGTGCTGAACATACGGGACCTTATTACGGACTTTACAGCTGTTCTCTTTCTCCCAGTAGTTTCTCACTCTCTGTCATCCACAGTTCAAATTGTTCCACGTTCTTTTCTTTAGCTGTTTGGCAACTTACTTTTCTCTGTAATTCAAATTTCTTTCTTTTTTGTTTTCGTACTCCGTTATTTTTGTCCCTGTCTGTCTCTAAAGCCTGTTTTTCCTTTTTTAGCTCACAACTTTGAAATTCATTACTACACATACATTACAGTTCAGAAGTTTGGGGTTGGTAAGCTTTTTTAAAAATGTTTTTGAAAGACATCTCTTAGGCTCATCAAGGCTATATTTACTTGATCAGAAATATGGTATATTTACAAGTATTGTTACAGCTAAAAATAACTTTTCCAATATACTTTAAAATGTACTTATTCCTGTGACGCTCCAGTCTTTTTCAAAATTACTCCAGTCTTCAGGTGTAAAATTATCCTTCAGAAACATTTCTGAATATTATCAATGTTGAAATCAGTTGCACTGCTTAATGTTTTTGTGAAACCATGCTAATTTTTTTCAGGATCCTTTAATGAATAGAAAGTTCAAAAGATCAGCGTTTATTTGAAATATTTATCTTTTCTCTTTACTGTCACTTTTGATCAATTCCATGCGGAATATATTCATTTCTTTCCAAAAATGAAAATAAATTCCTACTGACCTCAAACGTCTGAACAATATGTTGTATAACTGTGTATAACGTCAGTTGGGGCCATTTTTGGTCTAAAAATAAAGGCTTTTATTATGCATCTTTTTTATTAAGATTTTGCTTTATGCGTTTATACTATTAATATACGTCTATTCAAGTCTTTTCCTCACACAAAGCAATCATGTGGCTTCAGAAGACCAAATGAGTCTATATAGTTATATTGCAAGCAAAAGCAGCTTGGATAATCTTCAAAACATCTTTTATGTTTCATGTGAGAAAGAAAACTTTTGATATGATGACAGAACTTTCATTTTTGTCACAGCTATTCCTTTAAGGACAGCGATGTGGACAAAAACAGGATAGCACACTAAAACGCTCTGCTGATGCTCCTTCCAGATTTGGTCGTGTAAATGTTTACCTCATGTTGCCCTCTAAAATCCTGTTGGTGTTACAGAAACAGGAGGTTCGATTCATCTGCAAGTCATGTTCTAAATAAGACTCTTGGCCTGCAGACAATCACACTCACATGTGTGCGCAGCGCTCTTGAATCGGGACAGTTGGTGGCACTAATTTGTCCATGTTTTTGGCGCGCCACCTCTTGCCCTCCCTAAGCTCCGGGTCTCTGCCATCTGCTATGTTTAACTGTGTTGGCCAGGGCAGAAAGTGGCAAAGTGCCCACAGAGACACACTTCCAGACCTCGGCTGACTCCAGAGTCTCTTCACAGAGCCACCGGGAGCCCTTTCGTTTCTACCACAGGACTCTGATTCAAATATTTTGAATATATTAAAAACATTGTCAGAAATAATAATACAAGATTATACCAGATTTTTCCTGTTTTTGCTGTCAAGAATGTAATTCTTTTAAACCCTCATAATGCATTCAGGTCCATTTTGACCCCGGAATATAATTAATTAATTTAGTACAAGATAAAAAAAAATAGTTTAAAAAGAGATATAACCATTTCAAAAATGTATCAGTGGTAATAGTATCAATAGAGACTTTACAGATATTTATGCAAACCTTGTTTTGATCTATGAGTTGGATTTGTCTCAAAATATCTTTGTAAAATGTTTAGCCTCTTTCTCATATTTTTTGGAATGAATTTTGTCCACAAACATGAATATGCACAACTACTGACGAACTATTGCTGCATAAAAAAATGTATCGCCTTTACATCAGAGAGTCAAAGTTGTGCAATTTAAATAAATATATAGTGCGTTTAAACCACATTTCAGAGTAACATTTATGTTGTTTTGTTAGAAAGAATATGTAGGTTTCACAAATTTGGTTATGAAGTTATGACAGATTATACTGATGATATAACATGTAATTATACAGTAATTCATAGATTATACTGTATACTCTCAGAAATTATATATGATGATACATTCAAATACAATTTCTCATGAATATTGAAAAAATTGTTTCTTGCATCACAATGATTTTTTCTGTTGTTTATGTAAAATTTGGAATTTCACAGAATTTCTTAACGGGGTCATCGGATGCCCATTTTCCACAAGTTGATATGATTCTTTAGGGTCTTATTGAAAAGTCTATAACATACTTTGGTTAAAATTTCTCAATGGTAGTGTAAAAAACACCCTTTTTACCCTGTCAAAATCAGCTCTGTTTTCCTGCACGCCGTTCTAGTCCGTGTAGCTTTAAATGCTAATGAGCTCTGCTGACCCCGCCCCTCTCTTCTGTGGGGTGACAAGCAGTACTGTTTACTTCAGCCGCGAAACTTGTTAACTAACACACATTAGGAAAGGCGATTTGCAAAGATTCATAAACAAAACCCTATCAGGAAAATCATAGGAAAATACTTTTTGGCTTTCATCAGAGCTGCATAAGCTTCTTAAAGCTCTGCTGTCCCAGTGACACAAAAGCAAGCGGGTGAGGAGGCAGGTATGGCCTAACGTGACCCCTGGAAATCAATCTCTTTCTTTCTTTCTTTCTTTTTTGTTTTTAGACAAGACATGTTCTCCTAAAACTGCACATAAACTAAAGTTAATCCACAGTACTGCTGTGTAAAGATCTAAAACATACATCAAATAGATACCAGCTGCTCTGAAAAGGTCTTTTCCAGGGAAACATTTTTGTTGTCACTACGAGCAATGAATGTGATTGGTATGAATGTGTATTGTGAATACAGCAAATGTGGCATGTGACTGCCATTGAGCAATTTTTTATAGACCACCAATCAATCTATCCCTAAGGCTGACTGAACCACCTTTTAAAAACACATTTATTGACAGACAACTGGAACCCGAGAAGGAAAGCATGATGTGTTCCTGTTGTAGCTGTAGAGCTTGATGCTAGCAAGGACAAAAACGTATAGGCTAACCTAAATGTAAAAATAGATTTAAGCATCCACAAAATGCAGGAATGCAAAATGTAACATGGTTTTTCAACACAAGGATTCACAAAAATTAAGTTCAGTCAAGAATTAATTAAGCATATAAATTGTCTCACCTGCATCAAAGTCTGGATTTGAGCGGCACAACGACATCAGACAGCGAGGAAAAAGAGAGAGACAGTCAAATTAATTGCTTGTTTTTCAGTCGTTCTCCATTTTACAACATGCTGCATGCATTTATTCATGAACAACAGCACCTGAATTCTACAACACACACATCCATCATCCTGCTTAAAGGTGGGGTATGTGATTTTTCAAAAACGCTTTAGAAAACTGATTCGGGCCGAGTAGCAAAACAAACTTGTAGCCAATCAGCAGTAAGGGGCGTGTCTAATCATGATGTGGAGGAGAGAGCGTTCAGTGCACGGGACGGACATTAGCGAGCCGAGCGACGACAGAAAGATAGAGATGGCGGATAAAAAACAAAAGAGGGAAACATCTGCGGAACAAAAGAAGGCTTAAGGTAAGAAGTAGGACCCGTGTAAATATCGGATCAGCTTTCCAGCGCTGGAGAGAACTCAAGGAGCGGAAAGGCCTGCGATCGGACACAGAGGTTGCTTTGTTTCTTTTCGATAGGTGAGTAACACCGTGTCTGCGCCGCAACAGCTAAAGTCTGTCTAGTACACTGGACGCGATAAAGCGACTGTTGAAAATCATTTGAAATTTATGTCAATACGTCATGAATAGAAAGCAGCACCAGTTTTCTGTCGGGGATTTGTCGTGTCGTGCCGCGCCGCATCCA